GAGGAAGGGGGGGATGGGAAGCAGCTCTGCAGGGGCCCCCCACCCTGGCCCCCTCCCTGGGCCAGCTGTGCGCACATGCCTCATTGCTCTGACCCAGCTAGGCCAGCTGTGCTGCCCCTGCCCCAAGCCTAGCCACACTGGTCCCTGCCCTGAGCCCAGCTGTGCTGCTCCTATCTCCTCCCCCCTCTGCCTGCCCCTCCACCCCGGGGCCGGGTCAGCTGCCTTTTCCCAGACCCTGGGCCAGGCCAGCTGCGCTGCTCCCATCCCCTGCCTGGGGGTGGGCACCCCCCCACCTTCCTGCCTGGGGTTTAAACTTACCTCGCTTCCTGGGGAGGCAGGGTGACGATTCTGCTCCCTGCTGCCTGTTTCCATGGGGTCCTAAGACCCACCGGTTTTAACCATGCATGCATGGCAAACCCTGCGCAGTGTCTGTTCCCCAGCACACCAGGGTGGGCCCAGCACACCCCATGCGCGTGCCTATGCCCATAAATTTCAGGTGTGCAGTTAGCAAAACTACTCTATCCTGGGGGACAATCTTGCAGCCCTCTCATGCAGGAGGACCACTCACTAGCCTAGGTTGTACCTCTCTGTTCTAGAATGGTAGTGGTATACCAGGCCTGAGAAACTCAACAAATATACACAAGATTGGGGAAGAAACCAAGTCCATGGCAGTTATTTTTGAGATTTGTAAAGTACATATCTAAACAACTTAGATGAGATTTAACTGTAGCTGACCAGCTTTAACTGCAGTTATGTTTATGTGGACTTTCTGTAGAAACTGGAAATGTAGAATCCAGTGCTGCTGAAGTAGATGTGCTGGAAATTCTGAAGAAATCTTGGTATAGGGAATGGCGGGTCATTCAGTTGAGAACCTTTTTCTGCCTCTCTGAAAGCAATGGTTGGAAATCTAAGTTGTCTCCTTTCCAAAGCAAGTGGAATCTTGCTTTCTCACTTCTAATCCAATGACTTCACTGTCCTTTTTTTAAGGATGTTCAGGTTCCAGTATGTCCTTTATGTAACACTCCCATCCCTGTGAGAAGAGGGGAGATGCCAGACATTGTTGTTGGAGCACACATGGACAAGGACTGCAAATATGATCCCACTCAGAGGGTAAGGAAACTTCCTTTTGAAATTGATGCTTATAGAGACAAGCCTCCCAATTGCATATCCTGACATAAGCAGCAACAATGGTTTCACTTGACTGCCATGTCATTAGGCCTCAGGTTTCCTCTGGAAGACTTGAAGAGATTGCTAGACTCGCTTTAATTTTTTGCCCATGCTGATCATGTGAGCAGTATGTGACAGGGTGTGTTCCCAGAAGACCCCTTTGGGGCTGCTTTCTGGGTTGCTGACACAGCCACTGACACTGGTCTCCTTACACTCTAGTTTCTCACTACTCAGTCCTGCTGGGCCAGATCTCTTGGTCTCCCCCACCCAAGGCACAGAGCTGAGATCACTACCCCCCCAAAAAAAAGCAACAGACACTGAAACTCTTCAGTTCTGGGGAGAATTCAGTATTGGGACCAGCTTCTAGGAACACCACTCCCCAAATGGGGTCAGAACCCCAATCATTCAGGTAATCCCCTTTCCAAAGAAAGGAGGATATGGACACTAATTGCTCCCCAGGTAAAATTATGAGCATGAGCTTATTGGTTACCTGTTTAAACTGCTATACTCTTCCCTTTCTAGTTCTAATTGGTGACCAAGCTATAAGGGTTTATCAAGACCCAAAAACTTAGTACCTCTGACTTAAAGTGTTTCTGGTCTTTGTGAACATACTATCACTTGTGCTGGGCAAAATATAACATCTGCTGATTAGAGCACTATGAATAGAACACTCTGAATTCAAGCAGTTGGAACAATTGTTTCCTCAAACTGCACTCTAGATTTCAGGTTAATTTAGAGGCCTGGACACCCTCTTGGCCAGAGTACTTGCAAGTTTTGTAATGTGCGGAAGTGCTTCCTGCTTGAGCTAAAGCAACTTGACTGTATCTTTAAGGTTTTCACCAATAAGTGTTCAAAAGAAGGCTGCAAAAGGAAAGAGATGATAAAGCTCATTTGTAACCACTGCCATGGAAACTTCTGTATAAAACATCGGCATCCTCAGGATCATGACTGCAAAGCGGGAGGTCACTCCCTCTCTAAAGCTGGGTAAGGATGTTAAAATTCATAATGAAGGAAATGCTTGCCTACCTCCAGCTTTTTTCAGAACCAATAGAAATACCATCATCCAACTTTCAGATGAATGAGTTGTCAAATTATTATAGCTGCTCTCTCTTGGTGGATGCAGATGGCCAGCTATCTTGCTGAAGAATTTGGCTCTTTCTAATGTTAAAGATCCTCCAGGACTAATTTCTGAGAGCAATTTGAGAACATGCTTGGAAGAAAGACCAACAGACTCTTCTTCTAGTTGTCTGATCACTCACCAGCTTCTACTGAGTTTGGCTTAAAGCACCAATTCCCATAGTATCAGTCTTGCTGTAGTAAGAAACAGTATAAATTTGAGCCTTTCTTCTAATGAAGTACCATGTCTCTTATAAGCACAACTACCTTCTTGTTCCAAAGATTCTAGAGCAGCTGGGTGACCAGTTTTCCACAAATCAGGAAATAGGTGGATGTGATTGGAATAAATAAGTGTTCAGCACAGTTCTATTTCCTTACAGATATGCAGCTATAATGAGAGCATCTGAACCCAGCTTCAGGCCAACAGGATCAAACAGAATGTCGTCGGGCAGGCATCCTCGGCATAACAGGTATAAGTTTGTCAAAATAAGATGACCTAAACCAGAGCTCTGCCTATAGGCTGTAGGATTATTGACATGCTTTTATTACAACTTCTTTAGCTGCCATCTCAGCAATGTCAGGAGCATAGGGGAGGTGCCTTTAACAATCCAAGATATTACTCCTGGGAGAATTCTGCATCAGTGCATGTGTATAGAGACCATGAATTCTACAGACTTCTTTGCTTCCCTACAGAAAAATGACTTCAGATGGGGGGGAAATAAGCCACTAGAGCAGTTATCAATCCATCCCCAGCAGTGTAGGCAGGCTGGTTTCGGTGCCCAGAGCACCTGGTAAAAGCAGGGCTTTAGGGTATTTCTGAGGAGGTAGATGTGGGGCAGGTTCTTTCCCCCTCAGGAAAAAACAGAATGTAGCAGCCTGCCTGCTTAGTGAGGAGTTCCTGTCCTTAATGAATTCCCCCTGAGGTTAAAACAGGTGTAATGAGAGAATTAAGGCTCCATTAAGTGGTATAAGCCTTACTGTAAAGAACAGCAGGACTTCAGAAATGCTTATGGTACTTCAGTGATCAGAACTGATCTACATTTTGAGACTGAAAAAATATGCTATTCAAATGTATTGCATGAACTGTTTACTAATGACCTTTCTGGAGATGGTCAGTCATATAAATTGAGTTAGTCCCCAGCCCTCACTTGATCTTCAGTTGCCTGTGATGTAATGCTGAGCATATGACTGCCTTTATTTGATTTCTAATTAGAAGTAAAGGGTCAACACTAGCTGCATTACCTAAACTCCATGTAATAGTACTGCTGCCAGTGCACCTCAATCCAATCCCCATTCATTCCAGTTTAAACAATTATCAATTAAAACCATGATATTGTACAAAAATATGCAGGACTCTAAAATATTGTGTGAAACTTAACTTGCACAGAATCCCCCAGGAGTAAAGATGTAGCTAGTTGCTACAGAGGCAAACAATCCTCATATGCAATTTGAGTACTAAATCTATAACTAGTTAGTGACCTAGTAGCTGACTCAGTCTGCACTTGACATGACCAAAATGTAGGAACTTAGTATAGGGTTACTTGTGTCAATTTTGTATTAAGTGACATAGTCTGTTATGGCTGAGCTAAAGAAAATAGCTATTCAAACATTCTCTGTTGGAGTTGGTCACCTGAGGACTTCAACTTAAATCTGTAATTTTGTTCTTTCAGATGCTGAGGAGCTGGGCCAGTCACATTGTTCCAGCCATTAGATGTTTAAATTAATGGAATTGTATTGTCTAAAGCATGTATATTTTTCTATAGTGCAAATAAAATAGTTCTCTCAATCTCTAGTGTTCAATAAATGTCCCTTACAAAAGTATAGAGCAGTACTGTAACATTAGGTATTCCAAATGGAGAGAACACATGAAGTTTGATTAGAACAGCAAGCATTTTTTTGTAAAATCAAAGAGCAAGGAAACCACTGTGTGCATATGGTGTAAGGAAGCACTAAAGTAGTGAACAAATACTTCAATCAGTATTATTCCAGTGGACATCTTACAAACTATAGTCACTAAGCAAGTTAATGTGATCATGACATCTGAGTTATATTTGCTGCAGAGTGCAACTGGAAAGTGACTCCACTGCTGGAGTTAAGACTGGTATCTGCTATCTACTATGTCTGAACTGCAAAGTAGAATGCAGCTCAGCAGAGGTGTTTGGGCTGGCAGAAACATCTTTGAACTCATTTGTCCTGGGATTAGAAATCTCTTCAGCATGTGCTACAAAGTTTGATGGGTTTAGTGCAGAAACATGGGTGAGATGTTGATTTGTTTCCTTACTGTGATGGGAAGTAAGGATGTTAAGAGGCAGGTAAGTGGCTAATTATGTAGCTGGAGTTTTTAGACGCTATGATTAGTTGATAAGGGAAGGGGCTCAGTCCCAGCTTGCACCAGGTCCAGGAGTTACCCCTACTGCAGCTCTGCAGTTTAAATGTAGCAGGAGTTGGGCATGCAGGTAGCCTGGCTGCTCCTAAATTTAAATTGCAAAAGCACAGCAGGAGTAGGTCCTGGATCCAGCATGAGGCTGCCTGCCCAGAGCAGCCCCTGTCCATGGTGGCTGGGCTGCCTTCCCCTACTGTGGTGCATCCCCTCCCACCCTGTAGCAGTCCCCTTCAGACAGGGGCTGCTTCATGGCAGCCTCCCACTGCTACCTCTGACAAGTAGCATTCCAATGCTAGGGGAAATCAGCTTTTAAGCTGACTCCTTACTCACTAGCTTCTGCTTCCTTCTCTTCCCCCTCCTCCCCCCAGCCAGCAAGGCAGGGGGAATGTGGGTAGTTTGCTTACATCCTAATGGGAAGAACAGCATCTTCTGCCTCAGCAAATGATGGCTATTAAATATGCTCTGTTCTACCCTATTAGGGGCTTTTCACTACTTATAAGCAAATCATGCCATGCTTCTAAATGGAAAACTGAAGTCCTCAAAATAGCTAATTGTAGACTTAAACTGCATATATTGTTACACTCCACTGATTTAAGAATTGAAAGTCTTCCTTCAGATGAGCTGGAAGGACTCAGTATAAAGAATGTAACTACTGGAACTGTACTCCACTCATGTAAACTTGCTAGGTGTTCAAGACCTCCAATTTCATGTCTCATTGGCAGAATGCCATCTCCACTAATAGAGGGTCACAGACTGTTATGTTGGAACACTGGTTTAGAATTAACAGAGGCTAACGGTATCTACTTAATCATACTAGCTACAAGGAGTTCATGCTCAATCTTGCTCTGTTGTATGAGTCTACCTCCCAAACTTCTGAACCTATAATCTATTTGTAGTAAAAGATGCATGTAGCCATTTACATTACTGTTATCTCCTGTTAACAGTTAGTACTCTGCAATCTCCTATGGTTATGGTCTCTCTAGACAAACTTAATTATCAGAACAAAGGGCAGTTAAGTCCCCTCAATGTTATAAACAAGTTTAACACTGGGAAATTGTGGCCAGTCTAAAATTGTCTAGGAATTGTCCTCTTGCTATATGCACCCTGATCCCTGTTAAGCTATGCCCTGAGGGGTATGGGAAGCTGTAGCACCTTATTCCTTTCAGCCTTTTTTACCAGTGTGATTTCTAGAAAGCTGCTTAGTTGTGAGTGGTGGACATAGAAAATGGTACCTTTTGGATAAGGATGGGTGTGGTGGTCCTAATTCTTCTGAGGGAGAACTGTATTTTGGGACTCCTTTGACCAAATGGCCTTTGTTTCCACTAAAGGGGCCCTAGATCTTTAGGTGCTATACCAATCTTCAAGGTTCTGTGGTGGTCAAGTTAGAGCATTACAGATAGCTTCCAGAAATTATGCTACAACCTTAACTAGGTGCCAAATACATTTCCCATACTACCTGTCCCCACCAATTTCCCAGGAAAATCAGTCTTCTAGAATCACTTCCTCTGCCTAACTATGTAGTCCTGAATTTGGAAGCAATTTCAGTATCAGTAATACTACATTTCACCACAGGAGGTCACAATAGGATATAGAATGAAACATTTGCTATTTCAACTCTAGATTATAGATTTGAGTGTTAAATTACACATAAGCACCATATTGTAGACTTGTATTTCTGCTATATTATAGTCATAAAGTAGGGATGTTAACTATCAGGTTCTTTGAGAAGGGTACTTGAATTTAGCATTTGCACACAGGGCATCCAGGAGCCAATGCTCTGTGGGAACTGGCTATTAAGCTGGCTGCTAGTGATCACTAACTCCCATCAGCTCCTCTTTCCTAATGTCTCTGATAAAGAGGTGGGGGATGGGAGCATGTGATGCTCATAGGAGCCTAGATGTGCTAGGAGTTGGTGTTTAAATGACTATAACATCCTTAAAATCTAAGTAAGGCTCAGCTTGTATGTTTCTGTTTAGTACATATGCTAGACTATACTAAAATTTTCTGGTTCACTCATTCAGATCAGAAAGCAAATGCACCCCTTTTTGGCACTGTTAATCATAGCAAACTTTTTCTGGGAAGAATGACTGTGGAAACTGCTGATTGAATAAATAGTGGAGAATCTGTGGGAAATATTTATAAACAAGTAGCTGTACTCTTATGGTAAGAGGTATACTCTCATTGACTTGAGCAACAGTGTCTGTTTCTGTTCCCTTTATAGTGTTAAGTTATTTGACTACAAAGTTTTCAAATACTACAGTTCATGGAATTAGTGAACAGGTAACTTGACATTTCTCCATTCACTCAATATGCATGTATCTAGCTGTAGACCATAGCTTTGTACTTCCTGTGTGAATGATGGACAACTGTGCTTTACAATTCAGAGAACCAAAATAACTGCAGTACATTTATCCTTAGCCAGGTGGCAGCAAATAAATTATCAAGTATAGACTCAATCCAATCACTCTTTCCACACAGGTTGATTAAGATTTGGCCATTATAGTGGGGAGAGGGGCACTAATTTTTGTTGGGAGGGCGCTACTCCTAGAATGTGGCAAACAGTGAAGGGCCACACACTTCCTATGTGGCTCTCAGCCAGTAACCAAGCAGAACATAGCTGCTGTACTGGGTCAGACCAAAGGTCTGTCTAGCCCGGTATTCTGTCTGCTGACAGTGCCCAATACCAGATGCCTCAGAGGGAGGGATCACAGGAGGTAATCCTCACCTGATCCCTCTCCTGTTTCCCAATTCCAGAGAAACAGCAGCTAGGGCCATAGTTCCTACTCATCCTGGCTAATAGCCATTGATGGACCTAACTTTCATGAATCTAGCTAGCTCTTTTTTTTGAAGGCTGTTAAAGATCTACCCTTCACCAGGTCATCCGCCAAGGAGTTTCACAGGTTGACACTGTGCTGACTGTGAGCAGGTTCCTCAAGCAGGCTCTCTGCCTTCCATGCCTCCATTCATAGTGGTCAGCGGTGGGAATTATGTACTGCTCTGAGCATAATGAGCCCCAGGCCAGGGTACTTCACGTGCTGCCTGCCCTGCAACAGGTAGTGCCTGTTAGCTGGTTCCCAGCTACTGGGAGCTGCAAGATTGTGCTGGGACAGGGTAGTGCATGAAGCCTCTTCTCTGCCCCACCCCCTCCCAGCTCATGGCAGAGGGGCATAGGGGAAGGGCAGGTCAGGAGACTGCCCAAGGATCCTGCTGGTCTATGGGCCAGATTCAGCCCATAGGCCATATTTTGCATGCCTTACATTACAGCAAGCAGCATAAATTGCACAAATAAATGTGTCCAGGCCTGTTAAAGATAACATGGGTGCGGTGAAATGTTAGTGGACCAACTTCTGGTAATGAGGGACAAGCTTTTGAACTACCCAGTGCTGGTCTTCAGTCATTTTAAGACCAACTTGCTCTTCTTTGGAAACAGACTCCTCCTTAGACTTGCCAGGCATCTGATTTGACAGGAAGACCTAGTCAAAAAGGAATCCTAGTGGCTCTTATGAGGCCACTAAAAGTCAAATCAGCTGCATAGCTGGGCTAAGGCAGGCTGTCTCCCTGCCTGCTCTGGCTCCGTGTGGCCCACGTCTGGCTTGTAGATGCAGAGGTGGCCACAGGGATCTGCATGGTGCTGGGAACTGCAGCTATAGGAGCTGTGGGGTGTCACCTGTGGGAGTAGGCAGTGTGCAGAACCTCCTGACCCTAGGAGCTTAGAAGCTTGATGTGCTGGCTATTTCCAGGAGCTGTCTGAAGTAAGCACCGCTTCATAGAGCCTGCACACCAAACCCTCTCCTGCATCCCAGCCTCTGTCCTAGGTTAGTGTCCTCTCCCAAAGCCTTCACCCCTCACCCCTTCCCCAGCCAAGTCCCCTCCCCCATGTTAAACCCCTCATCTCCAGGCTCACCCCAGAGTCCACATCCACAGCCAGAGCCCTCAGCCTCTCCTGCATCCTATCTGTCTGAAAGTGAGGGTGGGGAAAGGGAAGAAGAGGGAGGTAGGGCTTGGAAAAAGGAGCAGAGTCTCCAAGATCAGGTGGTACAGGGCAAGGGTGTTCATTTTGTGTGATCCTAAAAGAGAGATACCTAAATCAGCTATTGGCCAGATACAGCTCCCTTGTTTACTTCCCATGCAGTTGCAGGTCCCTCCTTCTTCCAGTGATAGCAGGGCTGCTCCAGGATAAGGAGCACTTAGCAGCCTAGGCCAGAGGTACATGTCAGTGGGGGCACAGGAGAGTGTGCACCCTTGTAAGATTGCCAAATGGTTTCAACAAAAATACTGGACACCCTTGACATTACATCACAATCTATATTACGTCTGATTTAGAAAATACCGGACATTTATATTTTCTCATTTATATTTTCTCAATTTGTTTCCCAAACAGAAAGATCAAATACTGGACTCTCCGGTTCAAAACCAGACACCTGGCAACCCTACCCTTGGGCACAGTAACTCTGGCATCTGCTGCATCCACACCAGGAAAAACAATGAGGAATCCTGTGACACCTTAAAGACTAAGGCTGTGTCTAGACTAGCCAGTTTTTCTGGAAAATCAGCCACTTTTCCGGAAAAACTTGCGAGCTGTCTACACTGGCCATTTGAATTTCTGCAAAAGCACTGACTTCGTACTGTAAGAAATCAGTGCTTTTTGCAGAAATACGATGCTGCTCCTGTTCGGGCAAAAGTGCCGTTTGCGCAAAAGGGCCAGTGTAGACAGCTGAGATTTGTTTTCCGCAAAAAAGTCCCGATCACAAAAATGGCGATCGGGGCTTTTTTGCGCAAAAGCGCGTCTAGATTGGCCACGGATGCTTTTCCGCAAAAAGTGCTTTTGCGGAAAAGCGTCCATGCTAATCTAGATGCTCTTTTCCGAAAATGCTTTTAACGGAAAACTTTTCCGTTAAAAGCATTTCTGGAAAATTATGCCAGTCTAGACGTAGCCTAATATTTTTATTTGGGCATAAGCTTTGGTGGGCAAAAACTCACTTTGTCAGATGCCTATCCAAGCTTATGCCCAAATAAATGTTAGTTTTACAGGTGCCACAGGGCTCCTTATTGGTTTTGCAGATCCAGACTAAGCTGTCCCTCTGAGACGTGCCATCCACAGCAGGGCAGCTCTGGCACAGGACGTGGGAGGGGCAGGCCAGGCTGGGCGGAAAGAGCGGGGGAGGGGAAAGGCAGAGCGACCAACGCCTCGGGGAGGAGCTTGGCTGACCCCACGGATGTGGGAAGTGCCAAGTTCCTGAGGCTCCGCCCACTCCGGATGCTGAGAGACCGGCTCTTGCAACTCAGTGCACAGTGATGACCTCAACACTATGCGCCCCCCCTTCCCGCGTGCCGCCCAGCCGCCTGGGAGAGGGGCGGGAATAAGACAATTTGGCTTTCTATTGGCCATTGACGTGATTGACAAAGCGAAATCCAACGAGGCTCCGCCGCTGGGTTTCGGGAGCCAATGAGAGAGAAGGGCGGGCTGCCGCGCCAAGGCAAGGGCAGGTTAAATGCGCTGAGGGGCGGCGGAGGCGGGTCTGAGAAGTGCATGGCGTGGAGGGGGCGGGGTGAGTAGGCGCTCCTGGGGAGGGCGCTTATCTCCAATCCCTTCGGGGCGCGGAAGGGCCCCGAGGAGATGGGGTGAGGCCGCGCTTCCCGCCTGGGGCCCCGGGGAGCGGCCGCTATTGGGGAGTCTGCTCTACTGTCCCCTTGCCTGGGGGGCTCTTCGTAGGGCTCCCCGCGCTCTGAGGGAGCAGCGCAGGTGGCTCCTCGGTGTCCCTGGCTGAGGGCCTAGTGAGGCGAAGGGGGTTGGCAAAAGCTTGGCATGGAGGGTGAGGGGCAAGGCGGGGCCGGATGCTCCCAATGAGAAATTCTGGGCCCGTCCCATTAAGTGCTTGGACTCGGCTCCCACGCGTCCTGGGCCTGGGTGGTTCCGCAGCTCTGCAGGAGGCTCTCTCCGCCTTGACTCCGTGCAAGGCGGGTGCTGTCTCTAGCTCCTCGCCGAGCTCTGCTCCGGCAGTATCCTGATTGCAGAGCTTTCGTGGGCTCTTTGAAACGCAAATGATTCCAGTCTGCCCCGGGGTGGCAATAAGCTGGTTGCCTATCGGGCTCTGGTTAGAGTACTCAGTGGAAGGGGAGGTGAGCAGCATAATTAAAGAGAATGAGACTAGGCGGTAGCACTACAAAACCCCTGAAGGTAATGTAATTGACAAGCACTCATCAGTACTAGTGTATCCTATTACAGTCATAAAAGTTCTTGCCACCTGTGTACTGGAAATAACCAAATGAGTAACCCTTTTGTTGGTATAAACGTCAACAACAAATAGTCTGGTAGCACTTTAAAGATTAACAAAAGTAGGTTTTGCAGCTCAATGTGAGATGAAATACCGTACAACTGTCAACTTCCTTTCCCGTGCCTGCTCATCATAGGTACTTCATAGGAAACACAGCAGCCTTAGTTGCAAACAAGTGACTAATAAACATGGTATAATTAAAATCACTGGTAATTACTGTAATAGCTGACTGTCTGAGGATAGCTGGATATTTTCTATATGCATGCATACCACACTGCTGGCCACAAAATAAAGTTGATATTTTACTGTATTTACAATTCAGTAACTTTTTGAAATGCTGTTTTGTATGCAAATTGGTGCAGAGCTGGTAGAGCCTTTTTCTGGAAATTGTCAGGCTAGGTACTGCCTGGATGGCATGGAGGTATCCAGCAGCAGTATTTTTGTTCACAACCCCTTGAATGTTTCGCATTGATGATGTAGCTAAAAAGCCTCTAGGTTTTAGTTGTCCTAAGCTGCAGTGAAAGCATCATAATATGGTTGTAGCAAAATGTAAGTTATCGTGGAGCAATCCATGAGGACCAGACCATTGTCTGTCTGGCATCAAATTCAGAGCTATATTGGAATCTCTCCCTCCTTTCTTTCCACAGGTTGTCCAAAATTAAATTCAAAATAGGTGTAATAAAATTTTGTATTTAAACACACTGGCTGCATCTAGACTGGCATGATTTTGCGCAAAAACTTTTAATGGAAAAGTTTTTCCATTAAAAGTATTTCTGCAAAAGAGCGTCTAGATTGGCACAGATTCTTTTATGCAAAAAGTGCTTTTGTGCAAGAAAGCTCCGATGGCCATTTTAGCTATCGGGATTTCTTGCGCAAAAAAATTAAGGTGCCTGTCTACACTGGCCCTCTTGCGCAAGTGGGCTTATCCCTGAGCAGGAGCGTCAAAGTATTTGTGCAAGAAGCACTGAATTCTTACATTAGAACGTCAATGCTTTTCCGGAAATTCAAGCGGCCAGTGTAGACAGCTGGCAAGTTATTCCGGAGCCAGTGTAGACACGGCCACTGAGTTCTGAAGGGGTTATCCCAAATCCTCAGCTTTCTGTGGGGATTAGCATTCTTATTTACAATATCTTAGACTGTGTACACTACAAATTACTTCATTATAACTTGCATCACTTAGGAGTGTGAACAATCCATACCCCTCAGTGACATAAGTTATACTGACTTAGGAGCTGGTGAGGACAATGGCGGTGAGAGAGTTTCTCCTGCTGACATAGCTACCACTTCTTATGGAAGTAGGAGATACTAATTCAACAGGAGAGCTTTCTCTTCCCTTGAAATGCTACAGCAATGCAGCTGCATCAGTACTGCTGTAGCTACTGCAGTGTGAACGTAGTTCTGTCTTACTGTGCTCACAATGAATAAGATGAAAATCCTTCAAAAACATATTAATTTCAGTTGCAAGCAGATATGTTAAGGGGTCTGGTTTCAAAGTGATATGAACACAAATTTTCTTGTCAGCAAAAAATGTGCTGTCTGTGTATCCTGTTTGTCTTTGAGGTAGCGAAACTTCCTGCAAAGATTCTGGTTATCTTCTAAATACAGAAATACTTATGATTTAAAACATATTAGCAAATGTGTTTCAATTACTTTATTTCAGAATAGAAAAGAATAAGAAAAACAGAAATGAAGGAAGAAAAAAGGAAGAAAAAATTAAAGCACTCTGGGGCAGTAAAGGAAGAGCTAGTCCATGAAAATGAACCAAAGAAAAAGAAACAAAAGCTGGAGGTTAGTGCCCAAGAATGAATCTGTTTAGTTTGCTGGTATGTTGATCATTCCCATGCTACAATAAGATCTGAATGCACTAGAGTGAGTCAGGATGACAAAGTTAAAACATAAATGGATCCATTGATCCAGGCTATGTCTGTTTTTAAAGAGTGTAACAGTAGCCTATGTATATGATTACTGTGTTAATAGGAAAGTTGTCAGATAGGGTCTAAAGATAAAGTGGGAGCCATGTGACTATGATTTCTCTGGAATAACACCAGATGGGAAGATATGTATAGTGTAAGAATACACACATTCCTCAGCACCCAGATATCATATTTGGAAAAATTTGAAAGATTTGTCTTGAAAATAGTGTTGAAATCATGTTTGTGCTCACTGTAGTCAGAAAATTATGCTTTCTGACTGGCCAGAAGGTGTCAGCAGTCTCTTCACATTATACAGTACTTACAAATTAATTTTAAAGGAACTTAAATTAACAACATAATATATTCTAGCAAAAAGTAACCCCCACTTGATAGAAATTCTTTTTTTAGGGCACTATTGCATGTCATTATTTCTTGCAAAAGCAGAATTGAAGAATAGTTCTTGCAAGAGTGCTGTATGAACATTGCATTCCCATTCAGCTATTATCAGGTGAACTAATACTTGAAGGCTTTGTCTACACTGCTGGCTTTGCTGGCAGAGAGTATGCAAATTAAGTGATGATTAGCATTTTGTCATACTTCATTTGCATAATCTATTCGAGCCATTTTTGTGCAAGGGGTTTTGGGGCAAAAACAAGCAGTGTAGATGTTTTCTTTCTGCGCAAAACCCCCCTTTTGCGCAAGATCCTTATGCCTCTCCCGGAGGCAGTGTAGACATAGCTGAAATGTAATGTATTCAAGTGCCACCAAAGCCATTACATTTTAAGCGACAAGCCTCAAAGATCAAGTTCTTACACTTCTCAATTAGTGCTTATTGCCTCTATAGTTGGGTATCTTGTGTGAAAGAAGTATACAAATGTGTATCTGCAAAGATTTTATAAAATTATCCAGGTTCTACTAATCAAATGATTCAGTGATCAATTAAAAAGCTTGACCAGGCAGATGTCAAATATATTAATACTGAGTATGAGAGAACAGGAAAAAAATTCTTGCCTTTCCTCAGGAACATTTGGAATCGTAAATCCTTATCCTGCAAATCCTTATGCAAGTCCTTAAAGCAGAGTTGTAATTATCATTGATGTGATTTCCCTTCTTGTCATTCAGGCTACATCTAACCTGTCGGCAGAGGGATGTAAATTAAACGTATTGAAAGCGCAAATGAAGCCATGATTTAAATGTCCTGCGCTTCATTTGCATAATGGTGGCTGCTGCTTTTTTTCAAAATGGGACTTTTCGGAAAAAAAACCCTGGCAGTTTAGATGGGGCATTTTCGACAGAAATGCCCCGTTTCGAAAGACCCTGTACTCCTTGAATACAAGATCTTATGAAACAGGGCATTTTCCTGTCTAAACTTCTAGGATTTTTTTCAAAAAGCCCCGTTTCGAAAAAAAGCGGCAGCCGCCATTATGCAAATGAAGAGTGGGATATTTAAATCCCTACTTCATTTGCACTTTCGATACATCTAATTTACATCCCTCTGCCGACAGAGGGGTGTAGTTTAGATGTAGCCTCACAGTAAAACCCATGGATGTTGATCGTCGGATAGATCTTATTTAGGCTCAGTCAGCAAATGGGACAAATATTTTGAGAGTTTCTTAATGTGTGAGTAAATGTCTCCAACTTGCCTGAATATAGCTACTGCAGTGTAGAGATTATGGTATTGCACTTATAAGGTTCCAAAAAGCTGTGAAGTCCTTGCAGATTTCAAGTTAATTGATCTGCCTCCAAATAGACTTACTGAGGCATCTGCTTCCTGATATAGGTACCCCTTGAATGCAATATTAGTGTGTGTAGCATATACAGGTCAGGAAAGGGTTGGGACTCGTAATTTCAATTAAATTTTATCTTTGATGATGAAGAGACAATCCTCCTATCTTTACACTAGATATCTCTAAAATACTTTTGGATATAATAGGATCGTTTAACTTCTTTCAAGCACTCTTTAGAACGTACAGGGAAGTAATTCAAGAGTTAGGTGGAAATTAGGGATGTAAGCGAGTAGTTGAGTTGACTACTTGCTTCCCCCCATGCTGCCTCTGTAACAGAGGCAGTGTGGGGGGAAGAGTTAGTGCTGGGTGGAGCTGTCTTAAAAGCCGGTTCCCCCCAGCACCGTCTCTGCGGTGATGCCTGCCCTACCTCTGTGCTTATGCCTCCATCAATGGCAGCAGCATGGGGGGATGGCAGGGGAGGCTGCTGCAAAGCATCCTCTACCTGCAGTGGGCCCAGCTTACTGTGGGCAGAGGCTGCACCAGCAATGGCTCCTGTCCAGAGGAGCTGCTGGACCTGGTGTGAGCTGTGACTGAGCAAGCCTGGCTCAGTCCCGGTTTGTGCCAAGTCTTGGACCAGCTCCAGGTCCGCTGTGCCTCTACAGTTTTAATGTAGTAGGAGCTGGGCTACCTGTGCACACTACTCTTACTACTGTACATTTAAACTACAGAGCTTCAGTGGGGGTAGCTTCGGGACTCGGCGCAAGTCAGAACTGAGTAAGCACTCCCTTATCAACTAATCGTGCAGTTGCTAGAAATTATATCAACTACCCCATTAGTGAATTGCCCACCTTTTAACATCCTTAATGGAAATAATGCTTCAGGCCAAAAATGTATTGTGATTTAGAGAGAGAGTGCTAAAGGCAGTTTAACAGAATTTTAACGTAGTCTGTATGCATAACCAGCATCTTGCGAAACTCTTCAACCCAGATAGACCTTATAAACCAGTAAAACTCAGACCTCTGAGATTCAGGAGCCAAATTAACATTCAGCATTATCCAAAAAAGCTGTAATAGTGTGGATTCAGTGTTTCATTTACTTTTTTAATAGAATATATATAAAACAATTCTCACATCACTATTATACCTATTAATAAAATAGTAATATCATCCTGTTTGGTTAATACTTTAGATTGGTTAATAATTAAATCACAGAGTTTTAATATCATGTGCTGTAGAGCCGCAGGAGACACATTAACGAGTCACTTGTGGGCCATGAGCCTCAGTCTGAATATCACTTTTTATAAACCTTAAGAATGCGGAGCTGTTCTGGACTGTTTGTCTTGTCTGATCAACTGTTGATACACAAAAGTTAGTTTCTGCTCATTGTATAGGTTGGACCTTCCTAGTCTGGCACCCTCGGGACTTGCGTTGTCCTGAACAAGAGAGTTGCTAGACTAGGGGAGGCCAGGCCTCCAGGCTCTCTGGGGATTCCCTCCTGTCCCCCAGCTCAGCCAGCTTGCTGCCCCTGGCCTGCCTGCCGGTCTTCACTGCCTCCAACTGCTGGTGGGGCTCCCTGGGAATGGGCCTCTCCTCCTGCCCCCCAGGCTCAAAAGCCAGGCCTGCTACCCTTTAGAGGCTGGGCTCCATTCCCAGCATGCAACCTCTGTGGTCAGACCAGATAGGTTCAACCTGTACAAGCTATTGCACTGTGGACAGAGGGAAATATTTATTAAAGAACAGTATCCTTAAATTCTATCTGGGAACATCAGTAAAGCATAACAGTCATGAGAATTACAGGAGTTACAGGAGTTATGTATGCAGTGTTAGTTTTATGCAGTACCATACAAGTCCTATCCCAAGCTATTTTTTTGGCATCAGCATTATAAACTGTAATTGTTGATACTGGGAAAGCATTACTTAGTAAACCACATTTTTACTGTTTGAAATTACTGTTGAGAGTAACAAATGTGAGATATATCTTAACATTGTGCTTCAATAAATGTTAATGAAAAATTGCCTTTAGCATTCTCCCTCCTGGATTTAGTTTTACATCTGTTATGTACTAGACTTATTTTGGGGGAATAACCAATTTGTGGTGATTGTTCTAAAGTACTTCCTTTGTTCAGCAAGCATTGTCAGAGGGTGTGCAAAGTTTAGTAGAAAAACTGAGTTAATGCAACCAAACTAGTATTTTCTGATCTTACTGTGTGGATATGTGGGCTCATTTTCTGACACCCTGAAACAGAAGCTATTAAAAGATATTAAATCTGCCAGCTTTTTAAAAACAAGACAGTGCCCTCTATCCTTAAGAGCTAATTCTAAGACAAATCTTGTCAAATCTTCTATGACTGGTATCTAAAAGTATGCTGTCAGTGTCTGTTTTCCCCCACATCTTAGAATTTTTCTTCTCTTGATGTTTCCCTGGAATCTTACTTTCACAGTGTGTCTTATATTTGCGCACTCATTTGTTCTTGGAAGTTTACTTTAATTTAAGTTCAAGCCTTTTTTCTCCCCAGAAAAGGCTAATTACAATTTTTTTAGAGTTCCATGTAGAATTCATGCAATGGATATGGATAATAAGAAAAGACCTGCTAAATCATTTAGTCTGTCGGCATGCAGGATTTTCATACCTAAGTACATAGTCTGATATATTTATATTTGAATTTAAATGTAGAATTGCTTTAAAATAAAGAGGTCATACCTTGCTAAGTGCAGGAGATGGTGGAGGAGTCACCAAAAATTCCAAGAGTATTGAATAAAGTGTAGTTGTCTTTTAATGTAATAACTTTGATTCAAAGTAACTTTCTGAATTCATGAAGCAAAAAGGTTCAAACAGGGTACAACTGCTTTCTAGGTTCTTATAAAGAACCTTGTATGGTGATGAAAAAAGCCAAAAGATAGCTTTAAAACGTCTAAAGGAACAGATGCATAATATACTCCTTTTGGCGCTGGAGAGATTTCGCTGGTTTAAGTCACTGTTTACCCATGATTTAGTTTTAGCTATTCCAGCAGAGCATTTTTAGGCTGCAAAGTAGAAAATGTATATCTTTAATTGATTTCTGTGTAGACCTGCAGGAGGGCAAGTTAAAATGCATCTTCAGTGACTGGATTTAGTTTTACATTGATTATTCTTTCATGACATTTGTTCC